GACAACCAGACTCTGTGGAGGGGTATATCTCTCTCTCATGTGTACACATTGGCCCTATAATGAATAAATGGAAACAATAAATTAAAATTTTAAAAATTATAAAAAGCATATACAGTATTAGACCATATATTTGTTTCAAATGTTTTGATAATGCCATTTATATCAAATGTTTCCTTTGGAAGTCTACATTTCCTTTTATGCACTTTATGACATTATTCTGAGAAGGGGGCCGCAGGCTTCCTCCAATTGCCAGAGGGGCTGGGCATGAGACCGGCCTCTGCCCTGGTACAGCCAGACATCATTTAAGAGGCTGTGTATTTGGACAAGCAATAATGAGAATGTGACTCCAGCAGTGTCCACAGGGGACAAACCCAGAGATCCTGTAACCTTCACTCACACAATCTGCTTTTATCAGCAGTAGGCAGATAATAGCCTTGCTACTACCCGTTTGTGCTCTCAATTCTGGCAGAAAGATCTGGCAGAAAGAAATGCTTACTTTCCTGGGTAATCTAGGGATGTTTTCAATAAAATTTAACATGAAAGGGGGGAGAGAGGGCCAGCCAGTGGTGTAGTGTTTAAGGTGGCTGCATCCCACATGGCCAACAGTCTAAAAATACACTGGCTTGAAAACTACACTGGGCACTTGCACATGTGTGCCCAAAATCCTGGGAGGAGAATGGAGGAGGTATTGTGTCATAGTCATCCCCCCAGGGCTGGGGGCATGGGGTACTCTCTCCCTTTATTTGTCTGTCTCTGTCTCTCTCTGGCTAGAGTACATACCCTATCACAAACTGAACAAAAATAGGGGGAATATCAGAGCCACAGAGAATGCCAGCCTATTTAGCCAGCATAACAATACTAGCTAGACCGTTTCCCACAATTACTAGCTTTCCCCTAAGGGGGAAAAATAAAAACCAGTAAGCTTTTACAGTCCTAGGACACATGAGGGAAAGCCTCTTAAAGAAGAACAGAATCAGCGCCTCAGGGATGGTTTGGTTTGCCCGGAGGGACTGGAAGAAGCACAGAGGAGCTGGTGGCAGGGCGAGGACTTCTCAGTAACACTCGCAGGCCTCTGCACAAACCTGAGAAATTACCACCAGCACCTGGATCCATAGGCCCTTGCAGTATCTGTCACTGCTTTGCACGTGACACCCTGGCCTGCAGGATAGCAGCTGCCAAATCCATCAATTGAGTTCCACTGACTAGGTGACTCCGCTGGGCTGCGGCTGTCTGCCGTCTCTGGGTTTCCGCAGGGTTATGGTTTTGTGCTCTTTTGACCTTTCACTTGATTTCTAGCAGTCAATGACCTGGCTGAATTACACTGGAATGTGAGCTCTTAAGATTCCAGGGAACACAGTGCTACTCAAAGTAGGTCCTGGTCTTTGTTGAATGTAGGAATCATACAATAATTCAGGAAAATGCATTTTTTAAAATAATTTTTAAAAATTTCCTTGAGGGTGTGTGTACGTACCAGAGAGAGAGAGGAAAAAAGCATCCCCAGGGGGGATTAGCCACACCACAAACCCTTATCCTCCATTCTCTACTTGGAATTTTGCACTACGTATGCACAAACGCATAGCTTATCTCTCAAACCGCTAGGCCCAGGACTCAAATGTGCAGTTGGCCATGTGGGATCGAGCAGCCTTACCCACCATGCCACAAGCTGGCCCCAGGTGCATGGATTTATTTGAGAAAGGTAAAAGATCTTCAACCCTGATGTGTAATTCTGTTAAATATTGGCCTGGGCATATCCCCAGAAAAATATTTGAAGTCCTTCAAGGCATGTGTATTCAGCTCAAGGTGGTTCTTGGATTGACTCTGGAGCCACGAACTAAAATGGACATCTACTCCAATCCTCTCAGAGTCTTTAAGAAGTTGTTTTTTGTTTTGTTTTTTGTTTTGTTTTAATTTTTTTGCCAGAAGGCAGGTGTACTCTCCAGAGAGACAATGTGTGGAAAAGCACACCCAATGGGGCACTGCCATGCCACAATCCCTTCTCCATTTCTCCCTCCTTTCAGGATTTTGGGCATGCATGCACAGCGCCCAGTGAGTTTCTCAAACCACTGGGTCTAGGACTCAAGCCCTGTGCTCAGCTATGTAGGATCCAGTTGCCTTAACCATGAGGCCATAGGCTGGCCCTGTTACCTCTACGAGCAAGCAACCTAATTTCCGCTGATCTCTTTGTGGAAGACCAGGAAACAGGGTCAGCTGGATACACAGATACTGTTCGGACACACCTGGGCACTCTGAATCCCATCCTAAGAGGAAAATATACCCTGTTGCGGATTAGCTTGGTCGCTGTTTTTGCCTGTCTTTTGCTAGAGGACATGTGCACTTTTCAGAGAGAGGAGAAAGCACCCTCCACAGTGAATGTTCCACCACAATCCCTTGCCCCCATCTCCCTCCTTTCAGGATTTTGGACGTATGCATGTGCACCCAGTATGTTTTTCAAGCCAGCAGGTCCAGGACTCAGACCACATAGTCAGCCATGAGAGCCAGCTGCCTTAACCACCAGGCCACAGACCCGGCCCAAACATGAATTTCAGTCCTGTCTCTTCCAAACCACCATCTTCATGGACTGAGAAACCCTTCTTTCTCTGGCCTGTTTTGTATCTTGATCATTTCAGCTCTTTCCCTTGACCTTTCACTTGATTTCTAGCAGTCAATGACCTGGCTGAATTACACTGGAATGTGAGCTCTTAAGATTCCAGGGAACACAGTGCTACTCAAAGTAGGTCCTGGTCTTTGTTGAATGTAGGAATCATACAATAATTCAGGAAAATGCATTTTTTAAAATAATTTTTAAAAATTTCCTTGAGGGTGTGTGTACGTACCAGAGAGAGAGAGAGGAAAAAAGCATCCCCAGGGGGGATTAGCCACACCACAAACCCTTATCCTCCATTCTCTACTTGGAATTTTGCACTACGTATGCACAAACGCATAGCTTATCTCTCAAACCGCTAGGCCCAGGACTCAAATGTGCAGTTGGCCATGTGGGATCGAGCAGCCTTACCCACCATGCCACAAGCTGGCCCCAGGTGCATGGATTTATTTGAGAAAGGTAAAAGATCTTCAACCCTGATGTGTAATTCTGTTAAATATTGGCCTGGGCATATCCCCAGAAAAATATTTGAAGTCCTTCAAGGCATGTGTATTCAGCTCAAGGTGGTTCTTGGATTGACTCTGGAGCCACGAACTAAAATGGACATCTACTCCAATCCTCTCAGAGTCTTTAAGAAGTTGTTTTTTGTTTTGTTTTTTGTTTTGTTTTAATTTTTTTGCCAGAAGGCAGGTGTACTCTCCAGAGAGACAATGTGTGGAAAAGCACACCCAATGGGGCACTGCCATGCCACAATCCCTTCTCCATTTCTCCCTCCTTTCAGGATTTTGGGCATGCATGCACAGCGCCCAGTGAGTTTCTCAAACCACTGGGTCTAGGACTCAAGCCCTGTGCTCAGCTATGTAGGATCCAGTTGCCTTAACCATGAGGCCATAGGCTGGCCCTGTTACCTCTACGAGCAAGCAACCTAATTTCCGCTGATCTCTTTGTGGAAGACCAGGAAACAGGGTCAGCTGGATACACAGATACTGTTCGGACACACCTGGGCACTCTGAATCCCATCCTAAGAGGAAAATATACCCTGTTGCGGATTAGCTTGGTCGCTGTTTTTGCCTGTCTTTTGCTAGAGGACATGTGCACTTTTCAGAGAGAGGAGAAAGCACCCTCCACAGTGAATGTTCCACCACAATCCCTTGCCCCCATCTCCCTCCTTTCAGGATTTTGGACGTATGCATGTGCACCCAGTATGTTTTTCAAGCCAGCAGGTCCAGGACTCAGACCACATAGTCAGCCATGAGAGCCAGCTGCCTTAACCACCAGGCCACAGACCCGGCCCAAACATGAATTTCAGTCCTGTCTCTTCCAAACCACCATCTTCATGGACTGAGAAACCCTTCTTTCTCTGGCCTGTTTTGTATCTTGATCATTTCAGCTCTTTCCC